CAAAGATTAATAAAGTTATTAAAATTGGACTTGTTGGGGATGGTGCTGTTGGAAAAACTACATTTTTATTATCTTATACATCACAATCATTTTTGACTGAGTATACACCAACTATCTTTGATAACTTCTGTCAAATAGAACCTGTAGGAAATGATATATTTAATGTTTCGTTATGGGATACAGCAGGACAAGATGAATATTCATCATACCGTGCTGGATGTTATAATAACTGTAATTTTGATGTATTTTTGTTATGCTTTAGTGTAACACAACGATCATCATTTAGAAATATTAAAAACAAATGGATTATCGAATTAAGAAAATACGCACCTACTGTTCCAGTTATTGTTGTTGGTACTCAAGTTGATTTAAGAGAAGATAGCAATAAGGACCATATTTCTAAAAAAGAAGGTGAAAAAATGGCAAAAGAATTAAAAGCTAAAAGATATGTTGAATGTACTTCAAAAGACTATGAAACAACTCATAATGTTGTTTTAGCAGCAATTGAAGATTATTTAGAAAAAGAAAAAGAAATGATTGCAAAAGTCAAGAAACAATATAAAAAGGAGATTGAAGAAGAAGAAAAGATGATGAAATTAATGAAAAAGGAAATGGAAAAACAAAAAGCAATAGAAAAGGAAAATAACTCAATTACACCAAGAGACCAATCAAAAAATGAAGAACAACCAACGACTCCTTCTGAACAAAAATAAAAAATCAAATTGTTTAAAAGGCATTTAAAAATACTCATTGAAAGATGATAAATTTATCCTTTTTTTTTATTTTTTTAATATTAGTTTTAAATTTACTAACAATTTATCTTTCAATAATAAAATATATTCAACTTTTTATCTCGTTTAATTTCATCTTCATTTAAATTTCAATTTAACTAATTCAATTTTTTCATACTTAACAATTTTTAAAACAATTTTAAATACATAAAATAAAAAAGAGAAATTAATTAGTAACGATAAGTATCACTCTTGTATGGTCCATTAACTGGAACTCCAATGTAATTAGCTTGTTCTTCAGTAAGTGTAGTTAATTTAACACCAAGTTTAGCAAGATGTAATCTAGCAACTTCTTCATCAAGTTCTTTTGGAAGAGTAATACAATCAATTGGGAGTTTTTCTCTCCATAATTTAATTTGAGCAAGAGTTTGATTAGAGAATGAATTTGACATGACAAAACTTGGATGTCCAGTAGCACATCCAAGATTAACAAGTCTTCCTTCTGCAAGAAGAAGAATAGAATGTCCATCTGGGAATGTGAATTTATCAACTTGTGGCTTAATATTTTCACGAACAATACCTGGATAACTTTCAATACCAGCAACATCAATTTCATTATCAAAATGTCCAATATTACAAACAATAGAATTGTTTCTCATATGTGCCATATGTTCTGCAAGAATAACTTTAGTATTACCAGTAGTTGTAACATATATTTCAGCTCTATCAAGAACATTTTCAATAGTTGTAACTTCATATCCATTCATTGATGCTTGAAGTGCACAAATTGGATCAATTTCAGTAACAACAACACGTGCTCCTTGTCCTCTAAGAGATTCAGCACATCCTTTTCCAACATCTCCATATCCACAAACACATGCAACTTTACCTCCAATCATAACATCAGTAGCACGATTAATACCATCAATTAATGAATGTCTACATCCATAAATATTATCAAATTTAGATTTAGTAACTGAATCATTTACATTAACAGCTGGGAAAAGAAGTTTCTTTTCTTTAACCATTTGTTTTAATCTTAATACACCTGTAGTAGTTTCTTCAGAACATCCTCTAATTTCTGGTAAAATATTATGCCAGAAACGTGGATTTTCTTTAAGTTGTTTCTTTAAAACATTATGAAGTGCATTTACTTCTTCTGTTCCTTTAACATCAAGAATTTCTGGATGTTCTTCTGCATGATATCCTGTATGAATCATAAGTGTAGCATCTCCTCCATCATCAACAATAATTTGTGGTCCTTGATTTTCTCCAAATTTAAGTGCTTTAAGAGTACATTCCCAATACTCTTGAACTGTTTCTCCTTTCCATGCAAATACAGGAACACCAGCTTGAGCAATAGCAGCAGCTGCATGATCTTGTGTTGAGAAAATATTACAAGATGCCCATCTAAGATTTGCTCCAAGTGCTTTAAGTGTTTCAATTAAAACACCTGTTTGAATAGTCATATGAAGTGATCCAGTAATTCTAGCTCCTTGAAGAGCATGTTCCTTACCATATTTTTCTCTAACAGCCATTAAACCTGGCATTTCATATTCTGCAAGAGTAAGTTCTTTTCTTCCCCAATCTGCAAGTTTAATGTCTTTGATCTTATAATCTTGTGCTGCCATCTTATTTATTTTTTTTCTAAAGTTCCTTTTAAATAGTCATTTGTCCTTTTTTAAGGGTTTCTTGAGGGTTTCCTAATGTTGTAATATTTTGAAGTTTTTTCCGACAAAGTGCCAGCAAAAGGTATTTAATTGTTATTATAAAATCGTAAAAAAAAAAGAATTAATAATGAAATGTCATTTTTGAGAGATTTAAAAACAAATGTTCAGTCAAATGTCTTGTTGAAGATCTTCTATTTTGAGTAAGAAATTCATTTCCTTTTAAATAATTGTGCTGTTATTTGAATTTACATTCAGAATCTTCTTTTTAAAATAACTAATAACAATAAACAAAGAAAAAAAGAAACAAAGTTATTTCATATCAAGCATAAATCCTAAACAAGTGATATTATAGTCACCATCAGTAAATGTAAATTCTCCCTTGTATGTACCTGGAGGACTCATATTAGGAATTTCCATTTCAAAGTTAATAGATATTGGTCCTGGTAAAACTGGACATCTAACTACTGTTCCACACAAATCTTTATTTCCCAATGGAACAGGAGTCCATTCATCCCCATTATGCATTTTTAAAACTGGTCGTGCAATAAATGTTTCACAATATCTATCTAATACCCCAACCATATTTAATTTAAACTTACTTCCAATTACTGGAGGCCATGGGTCTCCATCTACTTTAGTAAATATAACCTCTGTTTGTGTTGGATCAGATAGACAAATGGAGTAATCAATATTAGCTGCAAACAGAGTAGTGAATAACATGAATAACACAAACATCAGTCTTGGTTTGAATGTTAAAGATTTATTTGTTTTCAAGTATAGTAAATTATAATATATTTTTGTTTTATAATGATTGATTGATAGGCACAGGCATTTTAAGTTACTGTTTTAATGAAAATGATAAAACAAAGAAAAGATGAAAAGGTGTCATGTTATTTGAGTAATGGAGATGTAGATTCCATTGAAATTGAATCTAAACTGAATAATGAACTTCTGATTCGATCTTTATCAATAGGTTCAGCTGACAATAACCTTCTATCAACACAAACAGAACAAGCTCTTTCAAATGTGTTAAGTGGTGGTTGAGGTAATCTCATTAAAGAACAATCACCACAAACACATTTACCACAAAATCTGCAATGATGTCTTCTTATAAAGAATGAGAATGGTTTATTACAAATCATACATTTTACTACAGTATCATCTGGAACAAATAATGGTTTAATGAATGTATCATCACTTAGTTGATTTCTTGTTCTTAATGTGTTTAACATTTTTTCAACCGCTTTGTTAATTTCATCCATCCATTCTTGTTTTTCATTTTGGTCTATTGCATATACAACAAATGATTTCTTATTAGTGAATAACTCAAATCCATTAACACTCTCTTCTACATTTTTTACAACAATATTAGCTACATCTACAACTTGAGAAATAACCATATTGTTTGAATCACCAATTCCATAGATTAAAATATCATTAAATAAATAAAAATATCTCGGTTTAATTGTTTTACGACATACTTTCATTAGCATCCCTTCTTTAATAAAACACCGATGAGGTTCAACTAGTTTTCCAGAAAAACCTGATATTCTTCCTTCAATTAAAAATAATCTTCTTCTTCTTTCAGCAGCTACAATTGCTTTATTTGCAGAGTCAGTTAATTTTTTCATTTCCTTTAGTGCAACTTCTATCTTAGGATAATCAACATATGTGTCAGGAGTTCTTTTTAATAAATCAGTAAGTAATAGATTATATCGTGGTAATCGTTGTACTGGCATAATAAGAAATCCCCTGAGGTCTAATTGGTTTGTACCAGGTATTTGACATCTTAAGTCTTCAAAAACAGAACAAATGTATTCAGACTGTTCTAGTTCAGTTAATGTATGTAATGAAACACCTGAATTCCCAATAAATTGATAATACACTTTTAAATAGGGAATAAATCGTTGGAACGTCTCTCCAATGCTACGACTTAATTTTCCTTCAATTTTGTATGTTTGTAAATCGTTCAAAAATGCTTGGTTGACATTATAAACTTGGTCAAAATAAAGAAATATATCTTCTATTTGTTTACGACTTAGTATTGGTGGTTGACATGTTTGAAGTTTTTCATAATAATAAACAATACAGGTGTGAAGTGAATCTACATATGAAATTTCTGTTTCTAGTATTTCTTGAACTATTCTTTCTCTATACTCATCTCTGGATAATGTAGATTCTCTTCGAACTCTATTGATTGGAGGCACAGCAGTCATGAGACAATGGTTCATTCAAAGTTCAATTTCTGAAAAAATTAATATAGAAAATACTTTTTCATTTCAATTCCATTTATTGTTCTTCAACTTAATAAAATAACCTCAAAAATCATCGTACCATCACTTTATGATTCATACACTTATTTGAAGCAATACTTTTCTTCTAACAGACTTGTTTTATTGAAATAAATTAATTCAAAAACTCAAAAAGAAAGCTTTTGTTGACTGGTAGATCGATGGAATTATTGATTATGTACATATTATACTGACACATCCTTTAATACACTTTGATATTTTTTAAATATATTCTCATGTATATAACATATACCATGTTCATAAGTTAACTAATAAAGAAATATCTCAGTTTTTATGAGAATAGTTGTATTATTCAGATAATTTTTATTTATTTTTGAGTATGACATATCATTATGTCATGAAAAAGAGGGTTATTACAAGTAATTGAGTTATGAAAGAGTGTATTAGTGAAAAATAATTACCAACCATTTGTTGGTTATTAGGTTCATCTTATTTCCAATGAATAAAAAATATACTGAAAAACATTTATAAACAACCATATAATAGGAAAATAATATAAAAACTCAAAATGAAATGACTGAAATGATATTTGTAATATGAATCAATGAATAAGAATAAAGACAAACCAATGCCAAAAGAAGAATATGCATTATAAATAATCAAAAACAAAAGAATTACAGAGTAGAAGATAAAGACATTATTATTTAATAAAAAACAATGGAGATGAAAAGAATTGGGATTTACCAATACATGAAAAAAAGAAGATAACTAGAAGAAAGACTAGTAATAAGTAAAAAGTGGTTGAAATATTAGATAAATTAAACATGTTTAGAAT